ATCGGACCCGACTTCGGCACTATATCACTGCTGGCTTGACGTGGGACTTGGATTCCGCAGATGGCACAGCTCCCAGCAAGCTATTTTGGGCACTTATTCCCCGCCCCCCTCCGCTTTGTGAAATGTCAATATTTATTTGCAGGGTTTAATGAGCTCCAGGTGCATCCGCACTGCCCCATGGATGCAGTTTGACCCCACTTCCAATTGAAAGTGGTATTGAATCATACAAATGTGTGGTGGAGGCTCCTTCTCTAGGATTCTACTATTCTATGTTCAGCAATGGAACTCTCTGCCTCGGAATGTGGTGGAGGCTCCTTCTCTGGAGGCTTTGAAGCAGAGGTTGGATGGCCATCTGTCTCCTCCAACTCTAGGATTCTACTATTCTATGTTCAGCAGTGGAACTCTCTGCCTCAGAATGTGGTGGAGACTCCTTCTCTGGAGGCTTTGAAGCAGAATCTGGATGGCCATCTGTTGGGAGTGCTTTGAAGATGATTGTCCTGCTTCTTGGCAGAATAGGGTTGGACTGGATGGCCCACCAGGTCTCTTCCAACTCTAGGATTCTGCTATTATGTTCAGCAGTGGAACTCTCTGCCCCGGAGTGTGGTGGAGGCTCCTTCTCTGGAGGCTTTGAAGCAGAAGCTGGATGGCTATCTGTCGGGAGTGCTTTGAAGGCGATTGTCCAGCTTCTTGGCAGAATAGGGTTGGACTGGATGGCCCACCAGGTCTCTTCCAACTAGGATTCTACTATTCTAAGTTCAGCAGTGGAACTCTCTGCCCCGGAGTGTGGTGGAGACTCCTTCTCTGGAGGCTTTGAAGCAGAGGCTGGATGGCCATCTGTTGGGGGTGCTTTGAAGGCGATTGTCCTGCTTCTTGGGAGAATGGGGTTGGACTGGATGGCCCACCAGGTCTTTTCCAATTCTAGGATTCTACTATTCTATGTTCAGCAGTGGAACTCTCTGCCTCGGAATGTGGTGGAGGCTCCTTCTCTGGAGGCTTTGAAGCAGAGGCTGGATGGCCATCTGTTGGGAGTGCTTTGAAGGCGATTGTCCTGCTTCATGGCAGAATTGGGTCAGACTGGATGGCCCACCAGGTCTCTTCCAACTCTAGGATTCTATTCTATGTTCAGCAGTGGAACTCTCTGCCCCGGAGTGTGGTAGAGGCTCCTTCTCTGGAGGCTTTGAAGCAGAGGCTGGATGGCCATCTGTCGGGAGTGCTTTGAAGGCGATTTTCCTGCTTCTTGGCAGAATGGGATTGGACTGGATGGCCCATGAGGTCTCTTCCAACTCTAGGATTCTATGAAATCCCGGAGTGAAGATGTACTTTGCCCCGGAGCGCCCCACATTCTTTCAGCACCTCGAAGAGCTCCTTTACAATCCAGATTGAAACCCAGAACAGATTCAATCCTTCCCTGCAATGGCAACGACTACTCTTCCTTAGGCAGAGCAGGCAGGTGTTTAGGAAGGGTTGTTGTTCTCCACAACTGCTCTCACCCCTTCTTTGTTTCCTTCCCTTCCTCCCTCCCTTCTCTTCCTCCGCCTTCCCTTCTTTCCCATTTTTTCTTCCCTCCCTTCATACCTTTTCCCCTTTCCTTTCTCTTCCCTACTTCTTCCCCCTCTCCTTCCTCCTCCTTTCCTCCCTTTCCCTCCTTTTTCTCTTTCTTTCTTCCCTTCTTTCC